TTATTAAGCACCCACTATATTCAGTCTTTTCAGTCATGTTGGCTCTTCCTGACCCCATTTGGGATTTTCTTGACAGAGATACTGGAGTGATTTGCAGCTCATTTTATAGATGAGGAACTGAGGCAAACAGGGTTAAGTGGCTTGCCCAGGGTCACACAACTAGTTAGTATCTGAGGCTGGATTTGAACTCAGGTCTTTCTGATTCTAGGCCCAACACTCTATCAGCTGCCCCCGAGCACTGACTCTGGCACTGTGTTAAACACTGGGGAGATGAAAACAAAAGTAGGATGGCCCCTGCCCTCTGGGGGCTCCCAATTTAGTGGGAGAGACAACAGGCAAACAACTCTATACAGACAAGATGTAGTCAGGATAAATTGGGGGTGATCTCAGAGGGAGGCACTGAGATCGAGGAGGCCTTGAAAAGACTTTTTGCAGAAAGTGATGCTTCAGCTAAAAATGGAAGGAGGGGGAACCCAGAGGTGAAAATGAGGAGGGATGGGCAGCTAGGTGGCACAGTGGATAGAGCTTCGGCCTTGGGGTCAGGAGGACCTGAGTTCAAATCTAGCCTCAGACACATAACACTTACTAGCTGTGTGACCTTGGGCAAGTCACTTGACCCCATTGCCTAGCAAAATAAAAAGTAATTTAAAAAAAAGAAAGAAAATGGGGAGGGAGAGAGAGTTCCAGGTATGGGGAACAGTCAGTGAAGATGCTGGAGCTCAGAAAGAGAAGTTGGATTCAGATTGTAAAGGGCTTGAAATGCTAAATAGAGATACTTGTATGTAACCTGGAGGGAACAGGATGCCTCTGGGACTTCTTGAGGTGGGAAGTGGCTTCAGACCTGCACTTTAGGAATGTCAGTTTGGCAGCTCTCTGGAAGATGGCTCCCAGAGGAGAGACCCTGGATGCAGGGGCCCAACTGGGGGCAATTGCAGTAGCTCATCTAAAAGGATATGAGGGCCTGGACCAAGTGACCATGTTGGGATGCTCATGAGAGTTGTTCAGGTAGAATGGATGAGACTTGGAAACTAGCTTGATTGGGGTGCGGGCGTCCTTGTGAATGAAGAAACCAGGGATGCTTCTGAGGTCACAGAGCTGGGCAACTGAGAGGGGAGTGATGGGGAAGTGAGCAGGAAGGACAAGTTTTGATTTGGACATGTTGGTTTGGACATCCACGTGTAGACATTGGATGGGCAGCAGGAGATGTGGGACCAGAGCTCAGGAGAGGCTGGGCTGGCTATCTGCATAGAGAGGATGAATGAGTCCAGGGCAGCTGATGGGAGACTAATGAGAGAGGAGGAGAGGGTCCCTAAGAGCACTCTGGGTAACAGCCACACATAGGGAGCAGGACAGTGATGGTTAACAGGCAAAGGAGACCTGGAGTGAGAACCCCAGGGAAGAGGCAGTGTCCAGAGCAGGGTCAGTAGGGTCACGCACTCTGGAGAAGACGAGAAGAATGAGTCCTGAGAACAGAAGTCATCAGTGATGGGAGGGTGGGGAGGAAGGGGCCAGATACAAGGGGGTGAGGTGTGCCATGGGTAGGAACTGAGCCTGGGCTGCCCAAAGTGGAAGTCCGGCACTTTGACCTTCTGCCTCTATCATGTGATGCTTTCCTTGAATCAGAATCAGAAAGTGGTTCTGTTGATTGTGGACATTTCTGTTGTCTCTTGCAGAGAAACAGTGTCCTGGTTTCACCAAATTAAAATTTAGGTATGTTTTTTTTTCCTTCAACACAATCCACATTTTTTTTGTAATGTCCCAATTCAGTGAAGGTGAGACCACAGTGAAACTCTCATTTCTCTCTCTCTCTCCCCCTCCCTCCTCTCTCTCTCCATATATATACATATATGTATATATACACACACATATATATATATACACATACACATACATACATATGTGTATGTATATATATATATATACATACATATGTGTATGTGTATATATATATATATCTATATATCTATATATATATATACATACACATTTGTGTGTGTGTGAGAGAGAGAGATACAGACAGTATGGTTCAGTAGAAAGTGTTCTGGATTAGAAGTCAGAGGACTTAGGCTGTAATCTAAGATTTACTTCTCATGTCACCTTGGGTAGGTCACATAACTTCTCTCTTTCAGTTTCATCCAAGGTAAGACTTGAGTTGGACCAGATGGCCTCTAAGGTCCCTTATAAACTCTAAATCTGTTCCCCAAAAGTCCCCAGTGTTTTCCTTTCTTGGAGATAATGAGGTACAGTAGGAACAACACAGGTTCTAGAAGTCAGGGGATCAGGGTCCGGATCCTCCCATCTCTGCTGCTTATGTTCTGTGTGTTCTTAGGAAAGTGATTGAACTTCTTGCCTCAGCTTCCTCACTTGTGAAGTGAGGGGGGTTTGATTTGATGCCTTTGAGGTCTCTTCCAGCTCTGGTGGCCAAGGCAGCGAACTTGGAAGTCATTTGATTTAGAGATGTTGGGGCCCTGAGGTTCATCCATCTGTCATGGTTCACCCTCTACCACCACCATCACCTTTCACCAGGAGAGAGAAGAAATTGGGGGGGAAAGAGTCACCATAATCATCCCCTAGGATAGGAATCCTCTCCTTTTGGTGGGGGGGCTCAGCAGAGACAATCAGTCAGTCTCCCACCTCCACTTAAAGTAACTACAAAGGTGCTGGCCCTGGCACCTTTGTCAGGTGAGAACACCTCCACTGAGTCAGTCCTGAGGCATGAACCGGGCAGGAACCAGACCTGGGTCTCTCCAGTGGGACAGCAAGTGTGCTGGGATTGGTTGAGGACATTTGGCCATGACCTTTGGGACTAGAATAAAAGCATTAAATGAGGTAATAGTCAGTAAAGTGCTTAGCACTGTGCCTGGCACATAATAGGTCCTTCTCTTCCCTATAAAAGCAGGAGCTAATTGGAATTCAGGGAGTTTCTGTTCCCAGCACTTAGTACAATGAGATAATATTCAATGAATGAGATAATGTTTGTCAAGTGCTTAGCACAGTGCCTGGCAGTAGGAGGCACTTAATAAATGCTTATTCTCTTATTCTCCTTCTCTTACAACTTCTGGAACTTAATAAGCATTTAAAATGCTTTGTCATTCAATCAAAGCTCAGCTTAGGTATTTCTTCCTCTAGGAAGCCTTCCCTGATCCTCTCTCTACCACCCCCCACCCCTGACTTTTTCATGCTCTCTTCATTTTCCTTGTACTACGTTTATCTCTGTGTCTACTCTGAATGAGTACAGAAAGAGGAAAAAAAAGTACTTATTTCTCTATATATTATATCCTGCTTCTACCCACAGTAGAATGTAAGGTCCTCAAGAGTAAGAATTCAGGCTATTTTTCTTTGTATCGAGGCAGCTAGGTGGCCTAGTACATAGAGCGTTGGGGCTGGAGTCAGGAAGACCTGAGACTCAGACATATACTATCTGTGTGACCCTGGTCAAGTCACTTAATGTCTGTTCACTTCAGTTTCCTTGTAGGCAAAATGGGGATAATTATAATACCGACTCCTCACAGCATTTGTGAAGATTAAATGAGATAATAATTGTGAGATGCTTAGCACAGTGCCTCGCACATAGGTGCTTAATAAATGCTTATTTCCTTCCTTCCTTCCTTCCTTCCTTCCTTCCTTCCTTCCTTCCTTCCTTCCTTCCTTCCTTCCTTCCTTCCTTCCTTCCTTCCTTCCTTCCTTCCTTCCTTCCTCCTCCTTCCTTCCTTCCTTCCTTCCTTCCTTCCTTCCTTCCTTCCTTTTCCTTCCTTCCTTCCCTTCCTTCCTTCCTTCCTTCCCTTCCTTCCTTCCTTCCTTCCTTCCTTCCTTCCTTCCTTCCTTCCTTCCTTCCTTCCTTCCTTCCTTCCTTCCTTCCTTCCTTCCTTCCCCTTCCTTCCTTCCTTCCTTCCTTCCTTCCTTCTTTTCCTTCCTTCCTTCCTTCCTTTCCCTTCCTTCCTTCCTTCCTTTCCCTCCTTCCTTCCTTCCCTTCCTTCCTTCCCTTTCCTTCCTTCCTTCCTTCCTTTCTTCTTCCTTCCTTCCTTCCTTCCTTCCTTCCTTCCTTCCTTCCTTCCTTCCTTCCTTCTTCCTTCCTTCCTTCCTTTTCCTTCTTCCTTCTTCTTCCTTCCTTCCTTCCTTCCTTTCCCTTCCTTCCTTTCCCTTCCTTTCTTCCTCCTTCCTTCCCTCCCTTCCTTCCTCCCTTCCTTCCTAGCCTTACAGAGGCTAGGTGCTTAGTAAATGGTATTGTAGTTGCATGAAGGCTGCACAGCTTTACCCAGCTCGGGTCCTCTAACTCCAAGTTCAGCAGTCCGCCCCTCCCTATCAGAGCTGCCTTCTGCTTTCTTTCAATGATTATATCACATTTGTCAGGGTTCCTCGTACTGCTAATGTTCATGGACACGTTATGCTCCTCCCAGCTTGTCCTAGTGCCTTATCTCATCAGATAAGCCTTGGGAAAGAGGTGGGGCTGGATTATTGTCCCCCTCATTTGGTGGATAATGAAACTGAGCTTTAAAGAGATGAGCCCACTCTCCCGAGGTTATACAACAACTCAGTGGCAAAGGGAGGGCTGGGACCTATTTTCCTAAATCTCAATCCAGTGTTAGTCCTAACCTCATCACACCTAAAATGCCTACCTTGCCTGGTTCTCTGGCTTCTGAGTGTCCGTGTTTTTAGGTAATAATAGTGAATTTGGAACAAGCAGACATCAGTTCACTTGAGCAGTAAGATTTTGTTGTCGTTGAGTCATTTCAGTGGTTTCCGACTCCTCATGACCCCATTCGGGGTTTCCTCGGCAAAGATATTGGAGTGGTATGCCATTTCCTTCAACTCATTTGACAGATGAAGAAACTAAGGCAAACAGGTTAAGCAACTTGCCCAGGGTCACACAGCTACTAAGTCTCTGAGGCTGGATTTGAATTTAAATCCTCCTGACTCCAGGCCCTGAACACTATTCACTGCACCACCTAACTGCCCAGCAGTAAGGCTGCTAACAGGGAAATGCCATTGGATTTGTCAAATATAAGTGAAAATGGTTTATTTCTGGATGGAACCCACCAAATGGCCGTGACCCAAGAATGGAATCAAAAGACTGTCTGTGGGGACATCCACATGGATTCAGCTTTAACAGCATGTTCACAGAGAAGCATATAAATGACTAAATCATTCAGCTTTGTTTGTGCAGATTTATGGTGGCAATTCAAGACCAGGTCATTGCCGTCAGACGTAGACAGAAGGGCTACCCTTAAGGAGGACCTCAGACTTTGTGATTCCTATAGACTATGTGAGAAAGAACCAGGAGCCGTGCAACACCTCACTCCCGGCCAGCCGCTATCCTTTTAGTCACCTACAGAAAGGTCTGGGGAATGTTAATTATGAAAGAATGATGGCAGGATGGGGACATCCCATAACATCAGAGCTGGAAGGGACCTAGCTCAGCCCCCATGTAGTCCAGTGTCCACATTGAAGGAATCCTCCCATAATGTAGCCAAAAAGTGATCATCCCGCCACTCTGGGGGACCTCCGGAGGGGAGACTTGTCCTAGGACCATCTCTGTCTGAACACCATCCCCAACATCTTCATCTTCATCTAATGTCATTTTCACCATTCGTGCAGTAGTCTGCAAGGCAAGGGAAGGAAATAAGCATTTCTCTAGCACCTACTGTGCCAGTCCCTGTGCTAAGCACTTTACAAATATTATCTCATGTTCATCCACAAAGGACAGATATTTGTAAAGTGCTTCACAAACCTTAAAATGCTTAATGATGATGATGATGATGATAATAATAATAATAATAATAATAATAAGCACTAAGTGATGAGCAGGCAGACTTCAGAAAAACCTGGAAGAACTTATATGAATTGATGCTGAGTGAAGTGAGCAGAACCAGGAGAACGCTGTACGCGGTAACAGCCACATTGCATGATGATTGATTCTGATAGACTTACCTCTTCTCAGCAATGCAAGGATCTAAGACAGCTCCAAAAGATACATGATGGAAAATGCTATCCACATCCAGAGAAAGAACCTTGGAGTCTGAATGCAGATGGAAGCAGACTATCTGCTCTCCTTTTCTATTGTTGTTTGTTTTGTTTCTTCTTTCTTGTGGTTCCTCTCATTGATTCTAATTCTTCTTTACAATATGACTAATGTGAAAATATGTTTAATAAGAATGTATACGTAGAGCCTGTATCAGATTGCATGCCTTCTTGGGGGGGAGGCGGAGAAAATTTAAAACTCGGGGTAGCTAGGTAGCACAGTGGATAGAGCCCCAGCCCTGGAGTCAGGAGGATCTGAGTTCAAATCTGGCCTCAGACACATATACTTACTACCTTTGTGACCCTGGGCAAGTCACTTAACCCCAACTGCCTCACCAAAACAAAACAAAACAAAACAAAACAAAATTTAAAACTCAAAAGCTTATGGAAATGAATGTTAAAATCTAGAAATAAATTAATTTTAAAAAAAGAAAAAAATAGTAAGCGCTCATGTACATGTTATGCTATTTGATTCTTATAATAACCCTATAAGTTAGGTGCTATTATTATGCCCATTTTACAAATGAGGAAACTGAGACTGAGTGACTTGTCTAACGTTACCCAGCTAGTAAATGTCTGAGTTGGGCTTGAACTCAAGTCTCCCTGACTCCGCTAGGTGTGAGTATGTAAATGCCAGCTATCATGACTTTTAGCATTTATTAATAAGCAATTAATTAACAATTATTAATAAGCAATTATTAAACATAATCATCATAACACTCAATGTCGCTTGACCAAATACTCAGAATCTCTTAGCTTTGTGGGATAAAAAGATTTCAAAGTATCAAGAGCTAGCGGGAGATCGGGAAGCCGCATAGGAACAAGATGGGGTCCGGGTCATCCTTGTCCGTCTGCTTGAAGGGCCATTCCATTTGCCTGGAAGATACCTTATGTGAGCCTGGTGCTCTTACTCACCTCGAGACTCGGCTTTTCTCTTAATCTGAGCCATAGAATAGGAACTTTTTTACTATTGTTGTTCAGTTGTTTTTGAGTTGGGTCTGAATCTTTACAATCCCAGCTGGGGTTTCCTTGGCAAAGATACTGCAGTGGCTTACCATTTCCTTCTCCAGCTATTTCTTACAGATGAGGAAACTGAGGCAAACAGGGTTAAGTGACTTGCCTAGGGTGATACACAGCTAGTAAGTGTCTGAGGCTGGATTTGAACTCAGGTCTTCCTGACTCCAGGCCTGGCAATCTAACCATCTAGCTGCTTCCATGCTAGAGTAGAATCGGAGCTCCATATTACAGATGTAGAAACTGAGGCCTAGGGAAGTGCAATGATCTGTCCAGATCGCCCAGCTGTTGACAGGAGCAGAGATGGGATTTGAACCCAAGTTCTTTGGCTGTGTGCCATGTGTACCATCTTTCTGGTGTACCATGATGTCTCCATGGATAGTGATGCCCTGGGCAAAAAATAGGAAAGAAGAAAAAGGTTTTGGAGATGAGGATTATGAGCAAATCAATCAAGAAGCATTTATTAAGTGCCTACTATGTACTAAGCATCAGAGATACAAAACAAGCTCCTTCCAGGAGTTTCCATTCTAATGGGGGAGGCAACATCTAATACTCTCGGTTATATGCAAGATCTAGATTGTGTATATGGGAGATGGTCTGAGCGGGATGGCAGGAGCAGTGGAGGGTAGGGGGGAAAGAGAGGAGGCAAGGTGTCCTGGCCAGAGCAGGATTGGAGCTCAGGCTTGAGACATAGGACAGTGGGTGGTTTGTCTAATAAATAAACCATAAATAAATCTTCTCTAGCCCTGGTTCCTCTGTCGCTTGGATTATGAACAGAGCATGTTTGGGCATGTGTGTGTATAGGATGAGAAGCTGTCTATAAGTTTGTCTAGGAAAGTTCTGTTGGGTGTAGGGAAAGGTGGGATATGGGGGAGGTTCATGTGGAAGGAGCCTGGGAGCTCAGACTTGTGTGTCTTGGCCCCAGAGGGCAGAAGACCAGATGCACTGGGTCAAAGTTAAAGACCAGCAAATTGAGGCTTGATGTCAAGAAAACCTTCTAAAGCTCGGCACTCTCTAAGCATGAAGTGGGCTGCCTGGGGATGTGAACTGGGTTCTTTCCTCCCTAGATAGCTTCCAGCAAAGCCTGGATTGCCCGTTTTTTAGGACAGATAGAGGGGTGTACTGGGCTATATATTCTCTGAGTTCCCTTCTAACTCAGAGATGCTGAACTTAGGGTTTGCAAATTGTAGTTACTTTGTAAAAAATGTGTTAGATTTTATTAGAATGCTAGATCTGGAAAGAGAAAAAGACCTCAGAGGACTGTCTATTCCAGGCAGTTCTGTTCCCAAAGGCCCAAAGAGGGGAAGGGATCTGCCCATGATCACAGAGGTAGCCAGTGACAAAGCCAGGATTTAGACCTAAATCTTCTGACAGCAGATTCCAGTGTTCTCTGTATCACGTCACGCTTCCTCCCAGCAGCAGGGACCCCCAGGATTGGTCCCTGAGAGCTCAAGCCCCCTTGGCCGGTTGAGATGCCCGTGAGCAGGCTTTTGTGCGGTCCTTCTTTCCCTGGCTCTCACTGGGCTTCGTGAGCCAAGGAGCATCTCCACTTTCTGCTCAAGGTATCTTGGCTCCTCTTCCCAGTTCTGCTGAGGGAAGATGGGATGTGTGGAAACGACAAGAAGCCTTGGCATCAGAAGCTCTGGGTTCTAGTCCTGCTACCGTCACTGTCTTCCTGTCACACTTTGTGCAAAGTTTCTGAGCCTCATTTGTAAAATGAGGCAGTCAGACCAGGTCAAAAACCTTTGGATTCTCTTCCATCTCTGACTTCTTAGAATTCTGTTAGTTCTAGAGGAAGAGTCAATCAACAAACATTTACCACTTACTATGTGCCAGGCCTTGTGCTAAGCCTGGGGATATAGATAAGAAAACCAAAGACAGTTTCTGCCCTCAAGGGGCTTCTCCGGTGGGAAATGAAGAGATGGCAGTCTTGAGTACCCTCCTTAAATGGAATTTTGAGGAGGAGCTCTCTGCTTCACCCTCCAATCAGAGGGACCCCGGGGAAGGCCCAGAAGTGATAATCCCACTGTTCTCTGCCTTGATCAGGTCATATTTCAGACATTTCTAATGTTACTTTGAATTCTGGGGGCCCCAGTTTAAGATGGACATCAGTAAGCCGGAAAGTGTCTCCGTTCTCCTAAACAACGAGAATGTTGAAAGGTCATGAGTCCATGTCATGTGAGAACTGATTGAAAGAACTGGAAGAAAAGACTTGGGGGGGGGGAATGAGGGAAGGGAACACACATTTATTTTTTTATTTTTATTCTTTTTTTAGTGAGGCAATTGGGGTTAAGTGACTTGCCCAGAGTCACACAGCTAGTGAGTGTTATGTGTCTGAGGCCGGATTTGAACTCAGGTCCTCCTGACTTCAGGACCGGTCCTCTATCCACTGTGCCACCTAGCTGCCCCAGGAACATGCATTTATTAAGCACCAACTGTATGCCAGGTCCTGTACTAAGCACTTTACATTCTTCCCTTCCCTAGCCTCTGATGTAGGGGCAGGCCTAGTGGGAGGAGAGGATGCTAGGTTTGTCAGACAAACTCAGCCTCCCCCAAGACCACGCTATACAATTTCCCCTGTAAAATGATTGTTTTTCTGCATAATAATAAATTATATCAGGCTTATTAACCTGGCATCCTCAGAATCCCCCAAGAGGTTTCTGAAGGGGTCCTTGAACTTGGATGGAAAAAAGCATGTATTGATTTCAGTGTAACAAGTTTCCTTTGCCATCCTCTGTGTTTTAATTTATTCATTGAAGAACTTTCCTGTGAGAAGGGGTCCCTTGGCTTCACCATTTTGCCAGAGGGTTCTAGAGCACACACAAAAAGGTCAGGAGCCCCTGACTTATAGAGCTCACAAATTTAGAACTGGAGGACCTCTTGGGGTTTGTCTGTTTCTAACCCTTCTCATTTATGTGTGAGGGAGATGAGACTTGTTAAGTGATCTGCCCGGGGTCATGCAAGTGATTGGCAGAGGTGAGATTTAAACCCAGGGTCCTTGGACTCCAAAACCTCTCTTCTCTCTGCTGTTTGATGGCTCCTCGTAAGGATTACAGAAATCAATGCAATGTCCAACGGATGTTTCTCCCCTAGGCTCCAGCAGCCATTGAACACACCAAGGGGAGGGAGGGAGGGAGGGATGCAGGAAGGAGGAGTGAGGATGGCCGTGCTCTCTGCTTTTAAATGAGTGGCTCCCTTCCAATGGCCAGGAGAAGCCGAGCAGATTTTCTGAGGATCCTCTCCGTGGGGAGCTGGACACTTAGGGCTAATGGGGCTGCAGCCCTTGGTAACCAAGGAAGAACAATAGAGATGGTGAGGGGGCCGTTCTTCAGGCACTTGATGCTCTTCTGGGCGCTCTCCTCAGCCATTATCTTGTCTGATGCTCTCAGGTGAGGATGCTGGGGGGCAGAGCTGATGCCCTGGCTCACATTTCCAAAGGGATCTGGCCAGGCTGCCGTGCCAAGCCCAGTCTGAAGGAGGTGAAGGGTAAGGAATGAGGGGCGATCCATTATTGGTAACACTCATGAGAGCCCCTTCCCTCTCTGTAAGCACTTTAAGATTGACAGGGAGCTTTTCTCATCTGAGCCCTTAGAGGTACAGGTGGTTCGAGGGCTTGTTCCCCCCATTTTACAGATGAGGAAACTGAGGCCTAGAAGGGGACATACTGGACCTGAGATCCAGAGAGCAGCTCCGGGGTATCCCTGCCCCTGTGATGCGTCTGTCCCCTTTGTGGACCTTCCTCTCACACCAGCCAGCAGCCTGCATCCACAGCCCATCCATCTCTGTCTTTTTGGGTGCTCATTACTGTCCCTCAGACTGTCTCTCTGAGAGAAGCCTAATAAACTTGGCCACCAAATGAGGCTCCAAGGGCTTCTTCGGTTTTAATGAAGTCTCTGCCAATTAGTCAGGTCTCTTTATGGTGTCTGTTGTTACCCAGCTCCTGTGGCCTGGCTGAGGATGTTGGGTCAGAGTCACTTCTGATGACAAGGAAGAGGAGGTGGGAGTATTTGGCAGTGATGCCCAAAGAGCCTGGGGGGGGCCCCAAAAAAAGCAGAGGATCACGAAGATCGAACCCGGCGCAGAATACATCTTTGGAGCCTTCACTTCCCTGCAGCCCTTGCAAGCTCCAGCCTGCCCCGTTCCTCAGTACAGAGGAGTCTATGTAACTGGCTAGGCCCCAGCCCAGGACCCCTCCCTTGGCATTTCCTCTGCCCTGCCTGAATCTGGGTGAGGCTACCTCCTGGAGGGTCCCGCCTTTCCCCCTCCCCTCAACTTGGCATTTCCTACCTTCTCCTAGAGGCCAGCATCCAAGAGAACTTTCTGTGGCAGGAGACTGGGGGCCCTGTTATGCCAAGGCAGGCACTGGCCTTTGTATTTCATCTCAGTTCATTTATCCTGCAATCCTGCTGGGTTGTAGGGAGACTGAAGCTAGAATGACTGCTCCATTAGTGTGCATTCTTCATCTCGCGCTCCATACAGTAGTCACTTAGTGTTTGCTGGATGAATGAATGATGGCATGTGCTAGAGGGAGCAGCCTGGCTTGTTTGGCCCCAGAAGGCAGAACCAGCTGCAATGATCAATGTTTGCAGAGAGGTAAATGTAGGCTTGATACGGGCAGGGGGTAGGGGGGACTTCCTAATAATAAGAGGTGCTCACAGTAGAGAGAGGGCAGCCTCTGGAGGGAAGGGGCCTCCCCTTTCTGAGGGCTTCTGGCAGAGGCTGGGGACTGCTGGTGTGGCAGCTGTTCTAGGCAAGACCGCCTTCTGCTGCCACTTGTACCGAAAGGCCGCTCTGCACCCTCCCCACTTTCAAATTCGGGGATTTTGTGAGTTTTGCTAGTTTCAGATGTGGGTCTGTCATCCAAGGTTGTTTTAATTCATTTTCAGTCAAGCCATCATCAACAATTGTTTTTTCAGCATCTTGTAAGCCAGGCACTGTGCTGGAGAACAGGAGTACAAAGACAAAAAGGAAATGGGCCCTGCCCTCTAGGTGCTTACGCTGTATCAGAGACAACTTGTACACATAGAAGTTTATGCAAAATAAATCAGCTCCCAGTCATTTATATCTATCCATCTATTGA